CCCTGTGCACCTACGAAGCTCTCCATCAAGGGAGCTGAAACATATGTGCACTCCAGCTCCCAGGCTATTTTTCTACTGGTAAGAAATTCTCTGTACAGCATGTAATATCTGGACTTCATATCATTCATCCCCCAAAGGGAAGCAGATGCAGTTCTTGGGGCAGAAAGTCACAAGCCAAAGCTGCAATAAACAACTTCCCCTGGTAGCCAGTGTGTTGGAATACCCCTGCACCTTCAGCAAAAAAAAGACCTGGGTCTTGCCAAAAATAATTTCCCATGCAACTCTGCAGGTAACGAACGTAGGGTAAACCCTAGCCATGTGTTTTCTGTCTTTATAAATACATTCAGAAATACTTTGGCTAAGGAAGACTGATTCACAAATTTTACCATCCTTAACAGGAACAAAGAAATGAGAAACCTTGCCTAACTGATATGTATCAAAATCTTTCCCAGTACCACTTATCTGTCTTGCCCAACTGCTACGTCTTATCTTTTAGACTGTAAGCTCCCTGGGGTGGTCTCACTGTGCTGTGTCTCTACAGCGCCAGGTACGTCAGGGCCACAGGGCTGGTGCTGTGAGGTATTACAGCAAGAGAAACATTAGATAACAGCAGCGACCATTCTGCATAAATAACAAGTTTTGCTGGGCAGTACATAAATGAAAAATGCTTCCATTCCCCAGTTGTTATCTGTGCAGTTTAGTACCCCATTTCCCCTCCAGGATAATATCAGGAACCTGAACAAGCCACCTACAGACTGGCGTTGTCTACCAGGCCCTGCTTCCCAAAGTCCTTCACAGACCGAGATGGTAAGGCCGGCAGGGACCAAGAGACCATCTCGTCTGAGCACTGCTACGTCACATCCAACAGGAGCTGGCCACTCCGTATTGATCCTGAGCAATGTCCTCCAGAAAAGCACCGGTGCTTAGTAAGAGGACACCCAGAGAAGGCAAATCCACCACTTCCCTGAGTACTTTGTTCCTATGGTCTGTCACCCCCCGTACTGTGCTAGAAATCCGTGCCTCATTTCCCACCTGAATTTGCCTGGCTTGCACCACCACTGGTTCTTGTTGCATTTTTTGTGGCTGGAGTAAAGGACGCGCGTGTCCCTAGTATTTTCCCCACCCCCACCCCCACTTTAAGGTACTTGTAAGTGTAGCAGTGCAATTTAGCTTATCAACAAGACTGAGAGGTGAATGAACTGGTTTGAGATTATTCAACATCTGCAGCATCCTTTTTGAGCTGTGGACGCCAGAGCTGGATGCCATCTCCTGGTATCGATCTTGCCAGTGCCGTACGCAGAGATGGAGCCGCCCCCTGCCTCTCCTCGGGGCCACCCAGGGATGACATTCGCCCCCTTTCACACTGCACGTTCTTTGCAGCCCTGCTCCAGACTCTTTCCAAGGCCCCATTCCCAGGTCAATCCTGTTTGCATGCATTCCTTTCACAAAATGAATAGCTTTGCACTTGTCTATTAAAACCACATTTTCTTGGTAGGAACCCAAACTTACCGACCAGTCTGGACTGCTTGGTAGGACTGTCCTGGCCTCTACACACATCACTGCAAGTCCCTCATCCACTTAACAGCAGTGAATTTCCAGTTACTTTGAGATGACTGATGAAAAACAGGATTAAAGAATACAAGGGGCAAGGGTTCTTGTGACATCTTGTATTGGACCAGCTGCATAATTGGGAGAGATGCTGGACAAGCTTTCAGGCACAACGTGCCCTTCTTGCATAGCTGGCCCAATAAAAGATATCACAAGCAAACCTGTTACCTGTCATACATGTCCTGGGCCATGGTGGCTACCACAGTCCAACCCGACCTACTGCACAATGCGAGGCCTGAGACAGAGCCTTGCAGGCGTCCCCTACAAAACCTCCACGGATACCTGCCTGAGGTCTCAGCAAGACAGGCTGGGCCCCTTTTGACATGTGCCTCATTGACACAGGGAAGCACAAATTGATTTCATGTGGGACGGTCACGCTGTGCAGTATCACACCTTAGCACCAGCCTCAGTATGCGACAACTCCGGGGCTACCCCTTTCCATCCAAACCTGCTGAAAAATGAAATTGGGCTTCCCTGACTCATTCTGCTCTCCGTAAAACCACGCGGCTGAGCTTTAATCATATTCCCAGCTTGTGTTCACAGAATCTGGTGTCCGGTTTTCAATGACTGCCCAGGGCAGATGTCAAGTTCACCGGCTCCTCTTGTTTTCTGAACACTGGCGCAAGTCATAGATTTCATAGATTTAGGGTCGGAAGGGACCTAGTAGATCTTCTAGCCCGACCCCCCGCCAGGGTGGGAGAACAACAAAACCCCAAAACAAGAAACGGGACTCAAATGAGTCCAGCCAGG